ACCATTCATATAACTCAGTTTTCATTTATTTTTTTGTTCTGTGTTCTGTTTCACTAATTTCATGTCATCATCCTATGTTGTAAAGGAAAGTTTAAGTTTGTGGACCGAAGATTAAGGGCACAAAACTATTGCATCAGTTTATAAGGCGCCTTAGGCTATATGGAGAAGTGGTAAAAACGGGAAAAGGTCTTTTTTTTCATATGTATGGACTCTTTACATGTTTGCACGAATTTATACAAAAAAATTTTTGCGATTACTGGACGCCCAGCTATTCTACTGTTTCTTTTTTCATCTTTATTCTAAGTTAGTTTTTTCTGGGTCCGATAAGTACTATGAATCTGCTGAACCTCAGTTGGCTAACTGGCTAGAAAACTATTTTTGTTTTAGATGGGAGAAAAATGAATTGTTGTTTTAAAGTTGTTTTAATTCCTTGAGAGTTTTTTTTTTTTTGCAAAAACACGTGTCAAGACCTTTACAAAAGAGCAAGAAACAGTGAATAAGCAACAACAACAACAACAAAAAAAAAAAAAAAGAAAGAAAGAAAAAAAAGAGTTTGTCAGTTCCAGTAACGACAGGAAAAAGGAGGAGAATTATACGCTGGTGAAAAGTAATCAAAAGAAAAAAAAAATATTGTGTTGCAAAAGATGAGAAGGCAAATGAACGGAAAGGAGTTTTTGGTGTAACATAGCAGAGAGCAGAAATTTTGGTGCAATTTTCGTTTTTTTTTTTTTTCTTCTGTTTATCATACGGCGAACACCGTAACACCGATGTGGAGAGGAACGTGGAGAGGATGGGATGGAAGGAGAGGAAGTAGAATTTTTTTTACGAAGTGTAAAAAGCAGAAACAACCAGAAAACCTGACGGAACGTTAAGCGTATATGTTATTTGCATGTGTATATTATAAAATAAATGAGTGCGAAGAGATCAATGATCACTGCTTTATTGTGGGCACATAGAAATCTAGGACAGAAAATGAAAAACAGAGGTATCAGCAAAAGAAAAAGCTTACTGCAGCATAAGGTGACTAAGGTGACTGATTCAAGACAGAAAAAAGAAAACAATTAAAAAAGAAAAAAAAAGACTGATTAGTTGCTGATAATTTCACTTCAGTATTATCACAATCTTTTATCAATCCCTTTGCTTTTTCAGTTCAGATATCTGAAGTTGCGTTGACTGGAAAAGTTCAACACTTTTTTTCTGCATTTTTTTTTCATAGTTATTTGCCCATTTAACGGGTACATTGATCGAACGAACTTTGATTTAAAAAAAGGCGAGGGAATGTTATACAGTCCTATAGGTTTTACTAGCTGGCCAGCAGTCGGTGAGTGAACTTCAGGTGCAAAATAAACGGCAAGACGCTACCATCAAAGTCGAATATGATGTTTTTAGATGGCCAAAAACAAAAAAAGCTTTTAATAATAGAAGAAAGAAGTAAACGACGAAGATTTCATGTTTCTGTTTGTACAATGCTTGTTTTGAGTGCATAAAAATTGTAAAAAAAGAAAAAGAAAGCAGAAGAATCTTCATTTATGGTTATACTATGCCTTTTCTGCTTCTTATTTTTATTTTTATTTCTCATTTATTTCTTCATTTTTTCTTTTTGTAGCTGATTGTGAAGACAATAGCTGTAGATGAATTATGGCATCATAAACTGCATTTTGGTAATAATGATGATAGGCATTAACCGTGAGTAAAATCGACAAATCGGTAATTGTTTATTATTTGAAATCAACAGACACGTAAACTCTGCAGCGCAATACAAATGGCTCTGCTGTAGCAGTACACTGCAAGGACACTTTTTTTTGCTTTTTCTCTTCTTTTTTTTTTGTTTAGATTTTGAACCGACTTAATAAAACAGTTGACTGAAATTTATTGATCAATGATCAGTAATTTTTGCGTTATTAATTTTTATTGCTATCTGAAATTGCCGAAGAAAACACAGAATACAAAAAATGCCGGAAGATCGAGATGGGTCTACGAGGAAAGCGGATTGGGAGGGTAGGGGATGTATGAAATTTGCATTTTTGGGGTGCTTTTTTTTTCAGTTTATCAGACACTGTTCAACCACATCAGTCAGTGCCATTTGTCACACAAAAACACAAAAAACAAACATTTGAGATCCTTCATATGTCCTCTTATCGTCTTCTGTCAAACTTAAACCCTAACTGGTCTCAAGGCATTAAAAATTATTTAGTGCTGCAGCAATTTTTGATTTCAATTTATTTGGTTAACAGAACAAACTAAAAATTGAAGTGGTAAACTTTATTTTCAGGTCTTAATTACATCATCAACAATTCGATGGAAGATTGCATTTAAGTCAACTATTATAAAAATTATTGGTTTTTATGAAATATTTTTCCTCTTTTTTTTTCTTCTTTTCTTTGATCTCCAAATTTAGTGAAAAAGGAAGTCGGATATAGGATTTTTTTTTAATGCTCAAGCCGACAACACTTTTGGTTATTTGACTTGCCTATAGGAGAGAAATACGTTTTATTTATGTAAATAGGTTTCCTTTTTTTTTTCTTTTTTTTTTTTCAGAGCAAATTTGTTGCTTAAAATGAAAGCTTCATTGGAACAAATTGGAATTTTCATTTATTCACAAGAGGTTTGTAAGAGTTGCAAGGAAGTTTTAAAAATTTTATTTGAAAATATTAAAGATATGTTCATCAGAAGTAATATTTATCTTCCACTATAAAAAAACGGTAACCTCAAAAAAAAAAAAAAAAAAAAAAAAAAAAAAAAA